CAGGAGCACGAAGCCCTCACCAACTCCAGAGCCTACTCAGGAAGCCCAGTCCACAAGGCCAAGGCTTGTCCTGCCAATCTGTGCCCAGGGAGAAGCTGGCCAGGCTCCTGCTCTTGGGGAGAGGCCTGCAGGACCACTCCAGGACCCAAGCCCAGCCTCCCTCCAACAACCCTAGAAGGAGGTGCACTCTTGGAACCACATGGTCCCTCTCCTGCAACCATCCTCCCTGGGTTGCCCCATCCCCTGGGCCTTGGGGGCTCTACTCCCTGCCACCCCACTCTGCCTTAAGCCTCCAGAGGTACCTGTGGCTCAGCCCCTGCCCCCTGCCCTGCCCTCTGCTTGCTGTTCCTCCGGGCCACCCTCTCTCACGGCAGGTGGGGCCTGTCCTCCCTGCCTAGAAACCAAGCCACTTAAGGAAAGGACTGTGCTGGCCTCGCTCTCTACCCACTGCTGTGTGTCTCCAGTTCTGAGAGCCCCTCGGTGCATGTGTGCTGCTGGGGGAGGTCAGGGCTGAGCACCGAGTCCAGCAGGGGGCCCCGCAGTGCTGGCACTTGGGGACCCCCCTTAGTCCCCTCCCCTCCTCGGCTGGTGCTGGTGCACCCTCTGGGAGGCCTGTGGGGTCTTTCTTTGGGAGCCTCTCCAGTCCTTTCTGGAAGACCCGCTAGAGGCCTCAGTGGGAGTCAGGAGCCCCCTCCAGGGCTGGCGCACCTGCTTTCTGGCCTCTGTCTTGTTGATGATGCCAATGATCCTCTTCAGGGCACCCTTGGCCTTCTTCCTGTGGACAGCTGAGGACAGAAGCGGGAGCCAGGCGTTCCAGTAGTGCCGTGCAGCCAGCATCACCAGGGTGCTGCTGCCCGCGATGCCTCCAAACCTGAAAGAGGGCAGGTCATGACACGGTGGCTCCACCTGGGCCCACCTGGAGCTGCTGGACCAGGAGGGACAGGAAGGTCGGGCGCCCAGGGCCCATCCACGCGCTTGCTCCCTCCCGGGCAGGTGACTTGCTCAGGCGTCCCTGCTGCATCCTCCCCAGTGGGCCTTTCTGGGCAGCGCAGGGTCAGACCCCCACCAAGGTCAGGCTGTATTAGCCCAGGCAGGTACAAGGGCAAGAGGGGGCCACCGCACCTCCTTGAAGACTGTGCCCTGAACTGGCCACACTGTCCACCTCGCCCTCCCTGGCAGGAGCCCTCCCTTGGGCCCACAGGACAGACCACAGCCTTGGTGAGCACAGGGGTCTGGCACAGCAGGGGATGCACACAGCCCCCACAGCACCACCCCAGCCCCTTTAGAGCCATGCACCTGGTGCTCTCCGTGAAGGCCTTGGCTGCCACCAGCCGCAGCTGCTTCCGGCCCTTCAGGTTCTCCATGATGCTCCTGCCCTGGATGCCCGTGGCCGTGCACAGCATCTCTGCCACCAGCCGGGACTCCTCGCTGCAGGACACAGGGCCAGTGAGGAGGGAGACCCCTGTGGCCCACCTTGGATCCTCCCTCCCTGGGTCACGGTCACTGACCTGTGGACTGCACAGGTGGTATTTTAAGACGGGCACCTCCTGGCCCATGAGCACATGTGCACAGGGCTCCGCCCTCCCCGAATCTGAGCCAGCCTCAGGGACTCGCCAGACTGCAGGGATGCAAGGCCCTGGTCCTCTGAGGCCTGGAGTGCCCACGTGTGGCCTGGGCGCTGGAGACAGCCACCCTGGGAATGCTCTCAACCACGGAGCTGGCAGCCACGTGGCAATGGTGGGAGTGGGCTGTGGGGACATCCAACCAGTGGACCCTCAAGACTGTCGCCCCAGCTGACTCTCACAGTAACCTTATGAGAGACCCCAACTCAAAACTCACTGGCTGTGTCCAGTCAGTCCCCAGAACCATGGTGCAGAATCACTAACTGTTTTTTTAATGACTAATCTTTAGAGGGGCTTGTGCAGCAACAGATCCACAGAACCAGCCCCTCTTTGGGGGCCTCTCCCCTCTACGGGCCCTGCTGCCCGGGCCCACATGGAAGTCTGGCCTCAGAAGGTCCACTCTGCACCCAGAGCTTGGCTGGGCGCACACTCCTGGGCGTCAACAGCAGCATCAGCTCCACGGCTCCTCATCCCTGGACATTCGCTGCTCCAGTGCTGCCGTGGCTGGGGCTGCAACGCCACACACAGTAAGGCAGGATTCCCGCCATGGACGGGGAGCACGCCTTTGCGGCTCAGCTCAGAGGAGGCACCGGATTTATTCTCTGAGAAAGATGCTGGTTCACGGGTAGACTCCCTTCATGGACCAGGGTCCAGAGCCAGGGACCTGCTTGCAGGAGCAGACAGCTGCTTCTGCCCCTCTGTCCCGAAGGAGTCAAAAGAGGAAGGCGCTGCCCCTTGGCCTGCATGGACCCGTAGTGCCCAAAGCAAGCCGGTGGCGTGAAGCTGAAACCACCTTCTAAGGCGGGCATGGCGACCTAGGCAGGGCAGGAAGGAGGGTTCCGTTTCCTGGGTACTGCCGTCCTAAACATTTTGATCTGTGTTAGGCAGTTGTTGAGTGTTCCATAAATGCCAGTGAGTGAGGTCTGCTCCTTCCATCTGTAGCCTCAGTGACTTCCCCCCGCTTTGCTCTGTCAGCTGCTGAAAGAGGAATGTTAAAATCTACAGCTAGAACCGTAGATGGATCCATGTTTCACTTCCTGTATTTTCAAGCTCTGCTATGAGGTGAACACACATTTAGCATTTTTATGTCTTCTTGAAGATTTAATCCTTTATGATGAGGAAGGTCTACCTTGGATAGTGTGCCTGGGCCGTTGAACCGCCACACCAGCTTTCTCGTGGTTGGCGCTTGCACAGTGCCTCTCTCGCGTCTTTTTGCCTTTAATCTGTGTCTTTACATTTGAAGAGGGTCTCCTGTACATAGTTGATCATTGGGTCTTGCTCCTATGTTCTGTGGGATAAACTGCATTTTAACTGCAGTGCTGGTTCGTTTACATTTAATGGAATGACTGTTATGACCAGGGTCAAATCCACCATTTGATCCTTGCTTTCCTTTTGACTTACATGTTCTTTGTTCCTTTCCTCCCTTTTTTTTGCATGAACTAAATATTTTTAGTATCCCAATTCATATCCTCTATTAGATTTTTCGTTATATCTCTTTGCTTCATTCCATTTCTTAGCACTTGCTCTGGGGATTGCAGTATGCATCCTTCACCACCCACGTCTACCTCACCCGAGTCCTACTCCACGTCACGTGCGGCAGGAGGGCCCTCGGAATCGCTGCCTCTCAGCCCGTCCCGTGTGTTTCCACTGCCCTGCATCTTGCCTCTATATTATGAAAAATCCCACAATAGGATCTTATTTTTGCTTTAAAAGGTCAAGTGTTTCTTGAAGAATTTAAGAACTGAAAGGGAAAAAAGTCTTTTATGTTTACCCCCAAATTTACCATTTTTCATGTTTTTCATCTCCTCTAGCATGTCCTCTTCTAAGGACTGGCTGGGAATGGATCCTCTTAGCTTTTATTAGTCTTAAAATGTCTTGATTCTGTCTTCATTTCTGAGGACTATTGCTGGCGGATATAGAATTCTAGATTGACAGGTTTTTTTTTTCAACACTTAAAAACCGTCACCCTTTGTATTCCGGTTTGCATTGTCTCTGATGAGAAGCCGGCAGCAGTTCTTGCCCTGGTTTTCCTGTATGCACAGATCCATCCCCACGCTAACTTCTTTCCAGGATCTTCTCCTGGTCTTTGGTCTTCGGCAATGTGACTACAATTCCCCCACAATGGAGCCAGGCGTGGTTCTCTTTGCGTTTATCCCACTTGGGGTTCCTTGAAAGTCTTGGATCTCCAGGTTGATATTTTTAATTCAACTTGTAAAATTTTCAGCCATTATGTTTTCCAATGTGTGTATTTTGGCCTCCCCCGGCTGCCTCTGTCTTCCTGAGACTCCAGTTACACTCAGGTTAGACCCCCTGCTATGGCGCCCCGGTCACAGATGAAAGCTCTATGGCCCCACAGGTCGCAGACAGAAAGCTCTGTTCATTTAGTTTCTCCGTTTTTCTCCTTGTGCTTCGGTTTTCAGAGTCTGCTGGCCTGGATTCGAAGTTACTGATCATTCTTCAGTGTCCAGCCTGATGATGCGCTCTTCCAGTGGCATTTCCATTTCAGACACTTTGTTTTTCATTTCTAGGAATTCCATTCAGTTACTTTATTATAGGTTCCATTCTTTATTGAAATTCCTGTCTGTACACTAGTTATTTCCATCGAAAATCTGTGATTATATTGACAGCAGCTGTTTTCGACTCCTTGTCTGCTCATGTCAACATACACCACAGCTGGGTCCACCGGCTGTTTTCTTTCATCCTGGTTATAAGTCACATTTTCTTGCTTTTGTGCACATCTAGTAATTTCTGACTTTGTGCTGGACATTGTGAGGGCTCAACTGCTGAAAGTGTGGACTGTGTCGACTTCCTTTAAAGGGTGTTGGGTTTTGTTCTGACAGGCAGTTAATGACTGGTGGCTCAGCTTCATCCTACTGAGATGTGGTTTAGGCTTTGTTGGGGCAAGTCTGTACTCACCCCATTGCTAAGGTGTGTCTTTCTGAATGCCTGGAGTTCAGTGAGGTACCCCCCGATGTGAGCTGGTCATAACTCCAACTTCTCTTAGCACAGGATGGCCTCTGGCATCTTGTCAGCTTACAGACCCCTCCATACCTGTTTTCTGCCAGGCCTGGAATCTAGTCCTGCGCACACATCGTTTACCACCAGGCAGGCCACAGACTCATGGGTGGCACCACAGAACGAGGGCCCTGCCCCACATGCCCACGTCACGTCCTAGACACCTCAGCTGCTGCAGCCCCAAACCCTGACCTGTTTCTCCCCACGACTCTTCCATCTGAGGCCCACTCCCCAGGCTGCAGCATGGGAAGCTCCCTGAGGCAGAATGCAGAGCCCACTTCTGATATTTCCTTCTAGCAAGAATGGCTGCCTTGTACTGCCTGCTGTCCAACAGCTAAAAACAACTGTCTCATGTATATTTTCAAGTTTTACAGTTTTTCTTTTTCACAGCACAAGAGTATGACACCCATTATGCTTTCAAGGCCAGAACTAGGTGACTTTTAAATTTATATTAATAACATTACATATAAATATACATAATATATAATATATAAATATATATAAAATCACTGTTGGTGATAACGTTAAATAAAAATGTTGCGCTGAGTTGGAAGGTCCAAATGACACTCTTAGACTATTGTTCTTTACGCATTTTGTGTGTATTTTAAGAATCTCATGAAATTTCTTATTAATATAAATTCCTTGACGTTAATAGCATAAGTGTGAAACTGATTTGGTAACTACACATTCACAACTGAGAATGTGAACTGATTAGTAACTGTTCTACTTTTCACCAAGAATGGAAAGCCACTTTGCCATTAGTGTAAAATGCTATCATAAAAGCTACACTGTGACAAATTCCATGCTAGGGTTTCTACACATAATTTTCAAAATGGAAAGAAATTAGGATGAAGAACTGAAATACGCGTAAACTTTTTAAAGTATCTCTTACAAAGGCTGATCGTCTGCTGCATGTGGGCATGGGTCCTGCTGGACTCGGGGAGGGCCTGTGGCTCTGACAGTGACCAGCGAGGTGACCACATCATCTCCTGCTGAGCAGCAGCCTGCTGTGGAAACCCACCCACGCTGCACCCAGGGCAGAGGGGCTCCTGCTGGGCGCAATGACACCAAGTGCCACTAGAGGACAGCAATGGTCCACAAAGGACTTTCCAAAAGTCCTCACATGGAAATCCAATTTTTCCAGTCTCATATGACCTCTCCTTTTCCCTGTTACCGTATGTA